GGGCGGATCCTCGCCCCCTTAAAGGGCCCCGCGGCACCCCGCTTTGGGGGCCAGGCCAGAGGGGCCCCGGGGGGGCCTGGCCAGGAGCTGTGGGGCTCTCGCCTAAGGCTGTTGGCCTTGTTGCTCCCGCCCTGTTCAGACTCCCAGGTGGCCTCTGGTGTCTCCTTCTCTTAAAAAGTCCGCCCACACTTGGGTCCCCTTCAGGGGCTCCCCCCCTCCCCCGAGGAGCTGAGGTCAGCAGTCCACTCTTAAATCGAGAAGCTCCCTCGTCAATGGCATTTTTCCTTCTGGAGAGAAAGCACAGCTTGAATCTGAGGAGGCCCGCCACACCTTCCCCCACCGCGGGCAGTTCTAGCGGGATGGATGGACTCGCCCACGCGGACAGACCACATCCCCTTGTTATCTCCGTTATCTCCTTCCTCTTTCCAGAATTTTTTTGCCCTGTGTGTCAGCTATAGTGGGAGCAGCCAGCCCTCGATCGCTGTCAAAGGACTCTTTCCACTTTGCACTACTGCCAGGGTCAGTGCCTTCAGACCCCTGAAGGTTCAGGGTGGACGGAGGAGGGCCTGCCTCGTTGGGGCGCTCCCTTTCCTCCCGGGGCAGAAACTCCCTGTCCCCTTTTGTTTTTAAAGAATCTCGGCTCCTCCCCTTTATCCGGCCCTTAAAGGGCCAGTCCACCGTAGACTAGCGCGCACTCAACGCTGGAAGGATGCTTAGAAACCCATCCAGCACCAGTGTGCCTTTGCAGACAAAGAAGCTTAGACCCTCTTGAGCAGAGGTGACCAGCTTGGGGTCACAAAGCAAGTTATCACTGAAATCAGGAATCTAGCCAGGTCTCTCTGACTCTGAAGCCATTTGTTTTTCCATGGGTTTACTTTAAAAAGGAAAAAAAAAAAGGTGACAGGCACCCCCTTTGATCTTGTCTTTTGTCTACCTGACCCTAGGATTCTGCACTGGGAGAACATTTAGAACCTGCCCTGCCCGTTCAGTCTGTGTGGCCAGCACACTATTTGAAAATAAAATAACCTTAAGGTGGGAGGCTGCTTGGGCTCTCTGCTGCCTGTATCTGGCAAGGGAAGCAGAGCTGACTTAGTAGGCTTTGCTCTGCCTCTCCAGCTCCTGCCCTTCTGATTGCTGGGCGGTGGCCAGCTCCCTGCCAAGAGCAAAAAATAAATCCCCAGCAAGACTTAATGGGCTCCAGTGGGGTGGTGGCCGCTCCCTGCTGCAGTATCTCCAAAGGCCACTCTGGGGGCTCCCTTGCCACAACAGCCCCTCCTTCCCTGGTCATTGGCTCTCTCAGAAACCAGGAACACAAGGTCTGATGGACTCTTTTTTTCCCCCCGATGTGTTGACAGCTTTGTCTTGGGGACCCTCCCATGGTTAACTGTGTTTGGAGAACTGACAATACTTAGCACCCAGCCCCAAAGTGGGACTCTCAGGAGGCTGTATTTTGAGGCATTGGAGAAAGGGATAAGACTTTTGGGTGGGGCCCTCCTGGCTGGGGCCCCAGGTGGGTGGGTCCTGAGTGCAGCCTGGATGCAGACAGATGCCCCCTTTGTTCCTCTCACCCCTCTCGCCCCCTCCGCCTGCTCTGGCTGTGACCGCCCAGCTCACTGCTCTCCTGGCTTCACCCCTCCAGCTCTCTTCCAGGAAGAGCCCCTCACAGAGCCTGCTGGCCACCTTATTTCTGAGTGTCCAAGCCAGGCCCTCAGAATGCCCTGCATCCTTTTGTTCTTGATTCTCTCTTAAAGGGACCGAGTCTTTGTGAAGGGCCAATGCTGTGTCTCCCTGCTTCTCGCACCTCGCTTGTTGGACTCTCCATCCCTCTCCTGCCTGCATCCCTTCCCTCTCCTGCCTGTGATGCTTGCCAAATCAAAGCCTTGGCTTCTTTCCCTGGAATTTGGAGATTGAACAATGGTCTCCTTTCCCCTCCTCTTCAGGGCAAGATCTGCAGCTGGAAGGGGGTGCCTTGGGGTCCTGGGGAAGTGCCCCCCCATCCTCCAGGGCCAAGGGACCAGCATCATCAGGCAGGAAATACTCAGACCACTGTGAGGCCCGCGCCTCAAGGCCTGGAAAGAGCCGCATCCCTGGCCGTGACCATCGGCGCTACTACCACGACCACTGGCGGCTGGAGTACCTGATGGACTTCAACCCTGCCCGGCATGGCATGGTGTGCATGGTGTGTGGCAGCTCCCTGGCCACCCTCAAGCTGAGCACCATCAAGCGGCACATCCGCCAAAAGCACCCTTACTCCCTGCACTGGAGCCCCCGAGAGAAGGAAGTCATCAGCAATAGCTGGGATGCCCACCTGGGGCTGGGGGCCTGCGGAGAGGCTGAGAGCCTGGGGACCCAGGGGGCTGAGGAGGAGGAGGACGAAGAAGAAGAAGAGGAGGAAGAAGGGGCCAGCCTTCCAGCTTCTCAGCCTAAGGGTGCAGGTAACGAAGGGCATGGGCAGGCAGGGCCTAGGTGGCCCCTGGGGCCAAGTGGGAAGCTCGGGTCTCTGCTAACAAGGCAGTTTTCCTGAACAAGAAACAGCTCCTGGTCTGACTGGGACACTTAATTGCTCTGTGGGATAGTAGGGGAAGAATGGCAGGGTGGCAGGGCCAGGGGATCGTCAGCATCCCTAAAACCACAGTTCTGGCATCCTGTGGTTTTAGAAGCATCAAAGAGAGTGGTGGTTGGTGGGATTGGGATTGGCAGGGGAAGGGGTGGCTGTGTGGGAAGACCGTGCTGGGCTCAGTGAAGGGTCTCAGATGCTAGAACCGAGTGGTTGACAGTCAGCCCTAGAGAAAGGGCTGGAAGCTGGGGCAAGGGATGGGGTGGATCTTGAGGAAATGGGAAATGGAGACTTTAGGATTTTAGGGAAGAGGATGACAGCAGAGATTGAGAGCGCAGAGGTCAAAAGCCAGGTGAGAGAGGCTTGCGGAGGACCTGGCTGTGGTGGTGGGGCCCCCCAGAGTTCCAGCAGCTCAGTGCCTTGTCCCCCCTCCAACCTTTCAGGCAAAGCCTCAGGTGGTGGCAGTAGCCGGCGCCAGCGCCGAGGGGGCTCAGGGCCACCCAGGGCCCGGCGGCGGGCCTCCCGGAGGGCCGGGGGCAACAGGGGGCTGGGGGCCCGTCGTCTGGAACGGAGGCTGAAGGAGTCCTTGCAGAACTGGTTTCGGGCTGAGTGTCTCATGGACTATGACCCGCGGGGGAACCGGCTGGTGTGCATGGCCTGTGGCCAGGCACTGCCCAGCCTGCACCTGGACGACATCCGGGCCCACGTGCTGGAGGTGCACCCCAGCTCCCTGGGTCTCAGCGGCCCCCAGCGCAGTGCCCTGCTGCAGGCCTGGGGCGGCCGGCCCCAGGCGAGGCCCAAGTTCACCCAGTCCCCATCAGGTGCGAGGCTAGTTCCAGAGCCCAACTTCCCTCTCCCTTCCAATCAGGGCTGCCAAGTGGGTCTGTCTGTCTGTAGGCCAAGCTGAGGGCCAAGAAGTCCCACTCCCTTTCCACAGACACACGTACACACACACAGCTTCTAGCTTGGGGCTGGGGTGAGGAACAAGGGACCCCTTCTGCGTGGGTAATGACAACCAAGCCAGCAGGCTGAGCCCCTCTCCCTCGCCCCTTCCCCAACAGACGACAACCTCGCCCCCCAGGACCTGACCAGAAAGAGCCGGGATTCGGCCCTCGCTGCCAGAGCCCCTTCCTCTCAGGAGCCCAGCCCCCCAGACGTAAAGGAAGAGGCCGGCTGGGCCCCTGAGAGCCCCAGGCCCGCAGAGGAGGAGGGCGCGGGCACGGGCACGGGCGCGAGGGCGGGGGGCCGGGCCCGGCGACCGCGGGGCCGCGACCACCGCCGCCACTACCAGGAGCGCTGGCGGCTGGAGTATCTGATGGAGTTCGACGGCGGCCGGCGCGGCCTGGTGTGCATGGTGTGCGGGGGCGCGCTGGCCTCGCTCAAGATGAGCACCATCAAGCGGCACATCCGCCAGCGCCACCCGGGCTCCACGCGCCTCAGCGGGCCGGACAAGGCCCTCATCGCGCAGGAGTGGAGCGAGAAGGCCGCCCAGCTGCTGGCCCTGGGGTTGCCGCGTCCCGAGTCCCCCCGGGCCCCCGCCGCCCCCAGCACAGCCTCGGCCTCCGAGCAGGGAGGGGCGGAGGAGGAGCCAGAGGAGGAGGAGTGGTGGGGTGAGCCGCAGGCGAGGTGGGGAGCACAGGAGCCAGTGCAGGTGGGGAGGGACCACCTGGCAGGGGAGCAGGGTGAGGTTCGTGGGGGCGGGAGCGGGTGGTGAGAGCAGAGGGGCGGCGATGAGCTGGAGGGCAGAGGGGAGGCGGTGATGCGCCGGCCCAGAGTCGCGCCCAGGCTGCAATCCTGCCCTTTGTCCCTCCCCAGGCGACGCCCCACTTTCCCCAGGGGAGCCTTCGGAGCGCCCCGCCGAGGAAGAGGAGGAAGAAGAGGACGGCGGAGAGCCGGAGGGGCTCGCCTTCCCTCCCCTGCCTCCACCCCCGCCGCCACCCCCGCCTCCGCCGCCGCCCCGCAGCCGCGAGCAGCGACGCAACTACCAGCCGCGCTGGCGGGGCGAGTACCTGATGGACTACGACGGCAGCCGGCGCGGCCTGGTGTGCATGGTGTGCGGCGGCGCGCTGGCCACGCTCAAGGTGAGCACCATCAAGCGGCACATCCTGCAGGTGCACCCCTTCTCCATGGACTTCACGCCCGAAGAGCGCCAGACCATCCTGGAGGCCTACGAGGAGGCGGCGCTGCGCTGCTATGGCCACGAGGGCTTCGGGGCGCCAGCGCCCCCGCCGCGCGACAGCAGCGACCTCAAGTCGGGTGCGGTGTGCCGGGCTTAGCTCAGCGGACTCGGCCGGGAGCCCCTCACGTCGCCCCCCCGCTGGCCGGGCCGGGCGCAGAGCGCAGGCGGCCAGCACTGGTCGGGGACCGAGTTCCCCAGAAGCCAAAGTGGGGCCGCCAGGAGTTAACATGAGGCACTGCCAGCCTCCACGTGTTCTAGGAAGGCCACTCCATGTGCCCCTAGGCCAGACACAGGTCGCTACAGACCTGCCTTTGAGCCATTGCCTGGGCTGAGGATGGGCTCCACTTGCCACACCCCCCATCTGCGCCTCCAAGCCCTTGGCTGCTCTTCGTGGAAAGGCCTCCTTTGCCAGTTAAGAGGTGGCATCATTCTAGGCTTTGGCAGGGGCACTGGCAGTCCTACCCCCTCTGTACCCCTTGTCCTCGGGGGTCTGGGGCCAGGCTGAGCCTTCCTCTTTCTCCAGGGGCAGCCTCAGTCCTGGGGGGGGGCGAGGCTGGGGGTCCCCACTGTGATCTCCCAGGCAGGTCCGAGAGGGATGTGTAGTTTTCATTCTCCTGTGGAGAATAGGTGGCCCCGAGACCAGGCCCATTTTGCTTTGTATTTTATTTTGAAACTGTATTTAATGCTTTTATATGAAAAGGGGCAGGGGGGGCTGGGAGAGAGCTGTCCCAATCACCTTTATGTGCAAATGTCTTATTTATTATGCGTGTATCAGAGATAAGCTGTGAGGTGGCAGAGGAAAGACTAAAAGGAAGATGCAGCGAGGGTGGAAACGGTAGATTGGGGCCTAGAAGGCTCGCCAAACATCCCCCATTAATATGCGTCTCCTCATCACAGGTGAAGCCACACAGGACTAGTTCCTTCATTCTAAAGTCAGTGGGGCTAGATCAGCTGGTGAGACATGAGGGTTGGGTCTTTAGCATGAGGGGCCCAGGAGCTGCTGCAGCAAAATAAAATGAGAGGAAACCCCACCTTCACCCCCCAGAGCAGATGCTCAGGCCCACGCACCTTGGCTCTTCCTATTTGGGAGTTGAGTTTTATACTGCAGATTTTCTATCATTTTTATATGTAACTGAAGATTGCCAGGGGCCCTGACAATCAGCTAATACATCTTCAACTTCGCTAAGATGCAGCCCAGGGAGGGAATCTACAGGGGAGAAGAAAAAGTTCTCCCCTCAGCTCAGTATTCTTACCATTACACTACACAGCCTCCTGCCCTCTGGTGTTACGGACATTTCATATCCAGGTAGGCCAAAGTCTAACACATACTGGCCTAGGATGTGGGGGTGCCTCAGGCAGGCTTCTGAGCTCTGTGGGGAGTTCTTGGCATCACAGGCCGCAGCTGGAAGGGGCAGGCTCCACGAGTGGGGCTGCTGCCCGCCTGGCCCCGGCCTCCCAGCAGGCCAAGGCTCTGGCAGTTGTGTTCATCAGTTGGGGACCAGGGCTGGAAAGAAAGGGAGTGAGCAGTCCATTGACTGAAAAGTGAATCTCCAGTGTTTGGACCTCTAGGGTTTTTGACAGTATTAAAAAGCTTGTAAACAGGGACTTGGGGGTGGCACCAAGCTGGGCACTGCCATTCTTTCTTTTCTTTCATGCATGTTTTCAATTCCAGAATGAGTATTCTGCTACTCTTCCAGGTCAGAAAGGGTAGGCAAATGCAAATGGGAGCAACAAGTTAGAACCACCCAGGCCACTATGGTAGGAAGGGTTCCATTTTTCTTTCCAAAAGGTAGCGATTAACACTAGGACAGGAGTGGATGGCTGCCTTCCTGGGGACAGCTCCAGGTACAGTTCCCGAGGGAACTGAGCTCCTAATATGCTCTCCAGTGGTGATGCCACACATGAAATTGTGAGCACCAGGGAATCTAGAAGCGACCCCTGCTTTGAGGGAGGCTCTGGTCTCGTGGGCTTGGGGGGTCAGGGGATAAGCCTCCCCTCATCTGACTCCAACACATGAAGTTTCTTCATGAAGATTGTTTGTAATAGTATGCTTGCTCTTATGGCCAATATGTAAATGTTATTCTGAATACATATTTATATCCTATGTTACTTAGTGACATTATTTGAACATTTGTATGCGTATTTGTGAAGTTGTTTGCATCAGGCATTAAAAACAACAACAACCCTGCCTAAGTTTTTGAAGAGGTTTTTAAAACCCAGCTGAAGGGTCACAGCAGCCTTAGTTTTAGGGAAGTGCAAACTGGAGGTGACAAAGGGCTGTCAGCAGAGAACCCAGACTTCCCTTGGCTTCCGTTTTCCACGAGGGCTGGCTGGTCTGACAGCTCTGTGGCTGTGACTGTGAATGTGCCATGCTGCTGGCTCATTGGCTGGCGTGAGGCTGCGCTGGGACAGTGGCCCCTCTGGCCCTGTCTACTCACCACCCTCCTCTTACGGGGCTCTGATTTTTCTCTCAGAAACCAAATGCACAACTTTGCTCTCCCATGGAAATCCTGAAATCAAGGGGATCTTTACCAGTATCAACTGCTTGGCGCTTTGTGAAGCTTCAGAGGTGGAGCAGGGGTGGGGGGTTTGGAAGCCTTGTTCGGGTTCCATACACCAAAACTGTGTATAAATAAAGTTAGCAGAATGACACCAGCCTCATCGTGTTTGTTTGGTTTTTATTATTAATATCACATCAATTTGCAGTTTTACAGGAACCAAGATTTAAGCTCCTTGGGTGCTACTTATTTTTATGTTGCACACACATACACTCACACAGTTTCATTAGTAATTTTTCATCTATAGCTTTTTTTTTAAAAAAGAAACCCCCCGCCAAAAAAAAAACCCCAAAAAAACCACCCCACATTTTCTGCGTGGCACAATGATCTGTCCAATGATCTAAACACAGGAGTAACGACACAAAAGAGCTAGGTGTGGGGGCTTCCAGTGCATGAAGGGGTCCTGTGGAGGGGAAGCCCAAAGACACGAGCAGTTCTAACTTCCTGGCAGGCAAAGAATGAGGAAGAAGATGCATCTCCTACCGTGACATGAGACCAGTGAAACATTTGCAAAGGAAAGAGCTAAGAAATGAGAAAATGGAAATAAGGCAAAGGTACCTTTTAACCTTTAAAATCCCTACGTAATTTGCTAAACACGTGGGAAGATTTCCTTAGACTACTGCCCACAGAATGCTCTCTGGAACTGTCGGTGTAGCCCGTACTTTGAAGTCACCAGTGTATACTTTCTCTGGGTTCTCGGATCTACCAGTTACAACCTGAAGAAAACAACAGATATTTCTTCCAAGTTGATTGCATTTTCACGTTGATGGAGAGGAAAACACCTGGCCTCAAATGGGAACCAATGGTTTCCAATTGCTCTCCACCTGAGGTCACATTGAGCCTTGCTATGGTCTTAATTGTGCACAGTGCATCCACACTCTAGCTCTGTCTGGTCATTCTGACCTAAAACTGCTAGGAAAACACGCAAAAGCAGGCACCCTGGGCCACAGCAGAGGTGCCAACACATACTATCTCTAATCAAAACAACACACACCCGTAAAAGCTAGCTTCAAAGCAGTTACGACTCCCTATGAACCACAAAATGCACTTCTCTATGCTAACTTGTGGTCTCTTGACCACAGACACACAACCTTTCAGCCAGCCTGGCTTTGGTCCTCAGGGTGAGAGAATGAGCACAGGTTAAAAATGTACCCCATGAAGAAGGAAGCTGGAGAGAAAAACAAAAAAAAAAAAATAAAACCAAACCAAAAGACTTTGTTTCTTCTGTAGTTTCTCTCCTAAAAATGTGCCCCCTCCACGGACCGAGACAGGATTACAAGAACTCATAACGGAGGAGCCCACATGCAGGTTATTTTTTCTCTTAACAAGTTTACAGCAGTGTACAGCAGTTACAGACATTTATTTCATAGTAAGAAAAGTACAACCATATTTATTAACCTGAAGGTGAAAGGGGGTGGGGGAGAGGGAGGAAAGCACATTTCAGGAATAAGTTCTCACATGAAAGCTCCAACCCGTGTTCACAAGAAGCGACACAGACACCACCTGCCAAGTGGTGGAGCTTTTCCATTCTGGGACCACGCTGGAGAGGGAGAGGTGGCCCCGGCTCTGTCCCCTGGACCACCACCTTCCACTTCCAATCAGATGGCATTACTAGGAACTGGCAATCATCACTATGATCTGTAAGTTACTAACAGAGTTGAAGTTATCACTAAATAAAGAGGAGAAAGATCATGAGCTCATCTTGTGAAGCAAGAAGACAAGATTACAAACAACAAAAAACCCTAAAACAAAAAGGAATCCGACTCCTGTTCCTAAGTAATTCTTCATAAATTAATCATTATTTTTTAACTTAAAAATAAGGGGGGAAATATGAAGGGAAACAGTATAAAACACACATGTAAAAATGGAATAAAAGAACTGAAGGGTTTGCAGGGTTGTGGTTATGTTTTATCTGTCATTTCCCCCCTTGCCTTCAATTTTTCCCCTTTCCAACTCCAGGCAAAAAGCTCCACCACCATTAAAGGTATTGATTTACCTTACTGATTCTTTACTCTCCTAGTTCTAAAATTTCAGTTCTTTTTCTCAGTCCAACAATTCCTGTGCTTGATACTGAGGGGTAAAGGGAAAGGAGAGGAGAAAACACCGAATTCAAGAATAAGCTTGGAATGCAGGCTCGGGCTGACACTGAGCACGTTCCTTCACGGTACAAGTGACAATGTTATAACTATTAAATGATGTTTTAGTAACTGATGCATTTCTGGTGTCCATGTGCTTATTCTGCCTTTTTTTTTGCAATTCCAGGGAGTTTTGCTTGGACCCTATTAAAGAAAGAAAAAGAAAAACAAAGGTGTAAGCAAACATTTGGTTCTGGTTTTTACTGTACCTGTGACTTTACCTGCTGACGCAATGTGGCCAACACACTCCTGGGCTTAGTCTCACGGAGTAGAGGCTGCCATCTGGTTTGGGGCGCGCCCACAAAGATCTGCCCCTGCCCCCACTGTGCCTGCTGTTTTGTCCTCTTTCAATGCCAGAACCTCCTTGGGCCTTCCTTCACTAAAAAGAACTTGTGGTCCCTGGGCAGAACATCTGCTGAGTGACCGTGTGCTGATAGTAACTAGCAGTGGCCACAGCGTCCTGCTTCTCTGGCTGTGAGGCAGCTGCTCTTGGCTGTTGGGTGCTGTCCGGTCAAGTTCAACTCACAGTGATCCTTATGAACAACGTGTGTGAACCCTGTCCCATACTGTGCCAACTGTACAATCTCTGACACACTTGAGCCCACTGCTGTAGTAACTGTGTCAATCCTCTTGGTTAACGGTCTTCCTCTCCTTTACCGTCCCTTCTCCACCTTTCCAAGCATGATGCCCAAACTATGACAGACTTCCGAAGTTGTGTCATCTTTGCCTCCAAGGAGCGCTCTGGCTATATCTTCTACGTATCTGTTTGCTCTTCTGGAAGTCCATGGGATGTTCAGTGCTCTTCACCACCACCACCACCACCACCACCACCACAGTTCAAAGGTATCAATTCTTCTTCTGTCATCCTTATTCACTGTCTAGCTCAGCAGTATAGCAAGTGGTTGAAAAAAATAACATGGATGGAATCAGGTACAGCTTGGTCCTCAGACTGACATCACTGCTCCTCAATAATCTGAAGAGGTCCCTGGCCGCAGACTTTCCCAGTGCAATAAGGCTTTTAATCTCCTGACTGCTCTTACAAAGTGTACTGATTATGGATCCAAATAAGATGAAGTTGTTGACGGTTTCAATCTTTTCTCCAACTATTGTGATGTTGCTTGTTCTAGTGGTGAAAGATTTTTATTTTCTTGACTTTTGAGTTGCAATCCATATTGAAGGCTGTGTTCTCAAATAAATTGCTCCGCATATATAATGAACAGGTAAGGAGAAAGGATACAACCCCGATGCACACCTCTCTAATGTTTATTTTGTCGGTCGTACACTTATTTTAACATAAAAAGGAGTTGATATCACCAGTGCAGCATACAGGGTGTGACATGTTCGAGCCTATGGGGGTCATCTGGTTCATAGGGGTCACTATACTCTTGCACTCTGGGACCATGCCATGTGTCAATGTGGTACAGCTACTGCTGCTAGACCTTGAGTTGGATCTGCCAATGGGCCTCCACCACCTTTGGGTGGTTGAGGAGGAGGGGAGAGTTAATGGGTTTGCCTATAGACTGTGGAGTAGGCTAAGCCTGGGCCACAGTGTGGCCCTCATACCCACACTCTCATACTCAGGGGTGAGGGCTGGGGCTGGGCAGGGGCCTGCAGAGCCTGAGGCATGCCAAGAGGTGCTGATGTAGAGGGCAAGCTCTGCTAAGGCACACTGTAGATGCTTATCCTGCCACACGCTGTCAAGAACTGGGTGTGCTGCAGGCCATGCTGCCTGATCGGCTGGGGGCGGAGCTTGGTCTGATGCGGGGCAGAACTTGGAGCACTTGTTCTCAAGGCAGTGTTTGGCATGGTAGAAGCAGAGGCGAGGATCTGTGTGAAGGCGAGGCAGCCACCCCAAGCCTCAGGACTGAAGCCTTTGATGTTTTGCACCACTCGCATCTTCGGGCAGGATGGCAAGGAGCAGTTGCTTTTTCAGCACAAGCAGGGATGCACCAGATACTGGACGTAGCACCGGATGTTCCAGAGCTGTAGCTCACGGAGGCTCCTTGGCTTTAGCTGACCTTGGATGCGACCCTTGTTATCCATCTGATGGCTGTAGCTTTTGTAGTAGTTGATACACAGATGTAGTCCTTCGGACTGTTCGCTGTTTCTGTTAGGACATATAGCTTCTTATGTCAACCGCGGGCAGAAATGCCTACCTAAAGAAATACCCCTTTCTTAATTTTAAACCATATAGTGTTCCATTGCTCTGTTTACACAACAGCTTCTAGGTCTAGGTATAGATTTATAAGGACACAAATATTCTGGATTAACATTCTTCTCAATGTTAGCCATAATTGGTTATGATACACATTACTGTTTTTCTCTGCTTCCAGCCAGGATCCATCGGACATTAGCAATGATATTTGTGGGGCCATGGCCTCTTCTAAATCAAACTCAAACTTCTTGGCAGTTCTCTGTCTATGTACTGTTCTAGTGATGCAGAGATAAAGAAATGCTGGGTCAACCACATACTAGAGCCACACAGAAACAAGGAGACATCCAAGTATGAGATGGGTTATGGGTTCCTGGTCCTCACAGCTTACAGGCCTCATAGACAACACCAGATCTGCCCTTCATTCTGCAAATGTGTTTGAAATCATTAAGTTATCCATCACCCATTCACATACTTAAGTAAATGGCAAAGCACAGATTCTCCATAATGTTACGTCTGAGTCGGCTATAATCCGAGCTTTGGCTCTAATGCTAAACTACGCCCATCTTTCACAAATCAAGAGTAAACAGGAACCAAATATATAATTATGCCAAGTCACTTGGCTAGCTTTAACATAAACCCTAGAAAGCAGGTGAGGAGGTTGACTTCAGTCAGAGCTATCTGAGCATGTTCATGGTTCTCTCCTGAAAGAGTCGGTGAAGCACAAATGTCTGGATGTGAAAGGAACTTGAGGAACACAAAGGGAGGGGAGGGGGCTCAACTGCTTGTCATGTTTTGTTTTTTAAAGAATGTATGGAAAAAAATAGGGAAAATCTTAGCATTTTTATTCTGTTAGTTTCATAAGCATTTGTCCTAAATTTTAACATGTTGCAGCACACTTTTAAATTGAGACCATGCTTAGAAACACTTTTGCCGTTATTTGCGGCAACATGTTAAAAACTATTTCCTTGCTTAATGAAGCTATAGAAATATGTCAATACATTACTTCTTAAAATATTTATTTAATGGGCTACAAGCAAGTTTTTTAAGCTTTAAGTCATTTATTTATTAAAACTTCTGAAGAAGGAGGGAGGAATTTGGCTTAAAATTGGCACATGTGATGCATACAGCCCAAAGTTAATGATTAGTGGTCACCAGTCAGTGGTGAGAAGGGCAGGGGGAGCAATTGCTCACGGGCAGTGCCTGCCTGTTGAGGGCGAGGGAAACACTGGAAACACAAAGTGCATGTGAATCTGAGTAACGTCACTGAACAGAAAACTGCCGACTGACTTTATCTCGGTAAAAACAATCTTAGAAACTGGAAAAGAAATGGGGGTGAGGAAGCAACCAAGAACACGCACCAGTCAGCTCTGACAGCCCAAGTGCTGCTGATTGAGTCCCTTCCAGTTTAAGATAGAAAGAATTCTTAAAGAAGCTGCTCAAATAATTTCAAGTAAAACCAAATGCTATTAACTGAGACTTTAACAGGCTGGGGTTGATGTGAGAATCACAGGCTGATAAAAAATAGCTCCTGTACATACTTACTTTTCAACAATTGATTTGGTCTGATCCCGGGCAATTCCCACATAGTGATCAATCTGGGTCTTTAAAGAAAGAAAATAGTAATACAAACATTAAAAATTTTCCTGAAGGATTTGTTCTTTAGCCTAGTTTACTTAAAAAAAAAATACTACTCTATATTCTGGAAAAAAATGTTTAAAAATTTTTAGACTTCAGTTTAAGGGTTTTTTTAAGACTGGTTCTCCCTGCATCTCACAGTGACCCTGTGTACAGCAGTTCTGAAAACTGTCCTATCCTATTATTACAAATTATAAAAAAACGGAAATAAAAAATCCTAAACCCCTAGTATTCACTATAATACCAATTCTTAGGGGCCAGCCATATTACAAGAAATGAAGACTAATTTAGAGACATTAATCATCAGAAGATTAAAAATCTAATTGTATACAATAGCCCTTTAAAAAGTCACGTGTTTAAAACAAAATTGTTTTCTCTAGGAAGAATCTTCAGTTGTGCTGTTTGCAACTGAAGCTTGCAGTGAAATGCACTTGGATTCATATTCGTGGCTCACCAGTGGTCTAAGCAGATATGCAAACTACACACAGCCACTGTGTCTTCGTCCTCCTGTCTGGCATTCTTCAAGCCTTCTGCTCTGGGAGGACCCTCCTTTACTTTGGCACTTCTGCTCTCTCAAGGTCTGAGGCAACAGCCTTTTCATATTTTTCCTTTAGCTTTGCTTTTTTATATTTCACATGGTTATCTTTGGCTGACTGCTCACACCACAATTTCTCCTTTCCCCTCACAATATCCCCAGGAAGTGTTCACCCTGAAGAGTCAGAGCAAAACAGACGCAGGCAGATGGTGACCTCTGTCGGGCACTGGATCTTGTATCCTTTCTTGTCACCTTTTGGAGGCACATAATTTTTCATCTGTCTTATGAGCTTTGGCACTTTTTTCTGTATCTTCAAATTTCCACTTGTCTTTTGCAGAAATGACTTACCAATGGAAGAGTTTGGCTATTTCTTCTTGTTAGCAAGAGATGCTTCCTTCTAGGGTCTACAGGGTGAACTGATTTATTCATGAGAATGACATACAGTATTTGGTTAAATATTTCCTAATTTATTTTTAATAGATAATATACATCCACATGATAAAAATTCAAAAGACACACATGTTATAAAGTGTCCTTGTGATGCTATCTTTTCTACATTCTAGTTTTTCTCCTTGGAAGAAATCACTCTAAAGAGGAACTTGTCTTAGAAAATGAGTTTCTAGGAATCATGGTTATAGGAAGACTGTTATAATGTCTAAAACTATGAACTAAAACCAGTCATGCATGTGGCATAATTGAAACAGAAAAGATAAATGCTTACCTTGTACTTCTCATAGACAATTGGAACGCTGAAAACGAGCAGTTCAGCTATAAAACAGAATGAAAGTGTAAAAGTGAGTCAGACACAAAAGATCATTTTCCTCAGGATATATAAAGTAAAAACCAACTAACAACCAAAAAATACAAAACAAAAACCCCACAGTGGCTGTCAGCAAAGCTGTAAATTTTGTGAGGAGACTGTCTACTTTTCTTTTGAGCTATCTATCAGAGGACTCAAACAGCCAACCTTCCAGTTAACAGATGATACAGGACACTCTGCCAACCAGGGCTCCTTCTGGAGGGTTTAGGAAGCTGTAGATCTTTATAGAAGCAGACTGCACGATTTTTACCATGTAGGACAACAGGGAGGACGACACTCACGTGGGGGTGGTTTTCAAACAGCCAACATTTCAGCCTCTAGCTTTAACCACTGTTCTCCTAAAGCTAGTTTAAACCAGAATTCGCTGCCACCGAGTGAACGGACTCATGGTCATTCTCCACTGGATTTCCAAGGGCATAAATCTTGATGGAGCTGATGGTGGCTCTGAACAATTGACCTTCGGGTTATCAGTACATTATATAACAACTATACCACCAGGACACCTCAAAGCTGGTTCAGAGTGATACTCAGGTACACAGTCAGCCTCCTTTTTACTAAAAGTAACAATTCTGGAATTAAGAAAATACAAATCTGGACAACTCTCCTTTACTTCTTGTTGTTTTAATAGTTCTTTATAAAACCAGACGATGTTGAGTTGATTCCAAATCAGGGCAAGCCTGTACATGTCGGAAGAACTGTGCTAAATGGCTGATCTTTTGTAAGCAGCTCTCCAGGCCTTCCTCTGAGGTGGACTTGAACCTTTAAGCTTTTAGTTAGCTGTCAAGAAGGTCAATTGTTTTCAGAACCAGGAACCTCCATTCCTTTATAGTTAGAAGGACTGAGTAAAGGGTTAGTACACAAGCAGCCTTCTCCAGGATGTAGTTTAAAGTTTCTATGGATATCTGCTAAGAGAAAAAACAGATTCATCCTAGAGAGGGTGAAACCTGGCTGCTCTTTGGAGGCATGCTGCAAGGAAGGACCAGTCCGTGGAGAGGGATATTATGCTTGGGGGGGAGAGGGGCAATGCAGGAGAGGAAGATCTTTGATGAGATGAACTGACTCAGTGAGTGGGGTAGTGTGTGAGAGACAATAAGGTTGGCTCAGGATAGAGCAGGATTCAGATATTGAACATAGAGTCATCATGAGTCTCAGGTGACTTGATGGCACAAAATAACAACAACATAGATATTAGGGAGTTCTAGTGGCCTGGTGGTAAGAAGCTGCACTGCAATCCTGAAGGCATACGGTTCGAGGTCACCAGCCGCTTCACAGGAGAAAAATGGGCACTCTCCTCCTGTGCAATTAACTAACAGCCTTTGAAAACCCACTAGAGGGTCAAGTATGGGTCGGTTCTGATTTGAAGGTACACAACAACAACAACAGCAGCAGCATGGATATTAAAGGCTGGCCATGTGAAAACAAGTGGAGCTATTCTTTGATCTCATATTCTTGCCAGTAACTTCAGCAAGCACAGAAAAATTTTTCTCGTCCACTTACCAAGAATCAGAAGAGTGATTCCATTAAAAACTGCTCCAACATAGGTCATCAGCCACATGAAGACAGCCAGCTGCAACAGTCAAGGTCAGAGGGTGAAGCAGGAATAATGAAGACAAAATTTACATTAATGGATTCTTTCTCTTCTGGGTAATTACAACTGTACGTATCAAGTGATGTACACTATAAATAAGTTCAAAATGCAAGTTCCTGAGTTTGCATTACACTTGTGAGAGTATCCAGGAGAATCCTGCAGTTTCTTAGGCCCAAAGACAGACTGTAATTACATACATGTCGATTATATTATCACTGCTGTGGGGTTCGCCCTCCAGTGAGGGGAGACCTTCTCTATTGATCCTAACCCCCACTTTGATGGGCTGACTGTAATGAGGCACACATTAGTTTTTATCTAATGACACTTCTGGCTTTTCCTTTAATTGTAACCTAGTTGCACATTTTCCCAGCAGCCTTACTACCATAAGATGCAAAGCAACTAACCTTCAAGGAGTCAACCAGATCTTCCACCAGGAAGAGACGGATGATGAGTTTCAGGGCCCTGTTGATGTGCACCATAGCAGCGTTCACATAGTTATGGAAAGCTTCAGAGGACAGGGTGATGTCTACATCCAGGTAGGCTCTTTGAGAAGAAATGACAGCAACAACATAGTTGACTTTGGGTCAGCACAGTGCTTCTTTTAAGCGTGAAACTGACCTCAGGCTGTCTGAAATCTGGAGGAGCATTTCTGGTTACCATAAATTGAGGTGGTAACTCCATGATCGTTTAGGGGGCAAAGATAACTAGGTGTTGGCAACATATAGACAATAATGCACAGTAAACACAATGCCTGAAGAGCCTTTGTGGTGTCACCAGACATTTATGAAGGTGAACATATTTCGTTATCAAGAGCCAAGAACATACAAATACGAGGCGCTTTCTGAAGTGTTTACATAGTTGGAATTCTCCAAAAGGGTATTTTGCTAAGACTTTATGAAGATTTCCATCCCTTCCAGCATTCTGAAATGTGTTTAATGAGGACACATGGAGCTGCTGAGTGTATGATTTCCTTATTAGTTTTTGTGCAGTCAAGTTTAAGCAATTAAAAAATGACTGAAATCTTAGTATACGGGGGCTTCTATTTTATTAAAGTCTATTTTTAAAAGTATGTTTTAAAAGAGATATTATTTATTAATTCCATTTATAATAATAAAGAAAAATTATAAAATACTTGTCTAAAAAAGACTAGAGAAGAATGGAAATACTGAGTTTGACAGTTGACAACTCTTAAAAGAGACAGAAAGATTTAGGTTCTGTTCCCAGTCGCACTGCAGAGCTGAGATAAACATGTCCTCACACTGTGTTCACTCACCATTTACTGGAGGACAGATGCTGTGGTACTGGAGTAAGGTAAGAACTATTACGAATATCTTAATAGATCAATTAACCTGCTCAATAATTATTAATTATAATGTAAGCTATAAGTCAATTGTGTGCTATGTGTCAGAGAGCTGGGCAATGACTAGGAATGAAAAGAAATAGAATTGATGTCTTTGGGTTGTGGTGCTGGAGAAGAGTATTGAATATACCATGGACTGCTAGGAGAACAAACAGGTTTGTCCTGGAGAGAGTAAAACTGGGCTGCTCCTTGGAGGCAAGCATTCTGAAGCTTTTTCTGACATACTCTGGGCATGTTGCAAGGAGGGACCAGTCCTTGGAGAGGGAACATCATGTTTAGGAGAATGGAGAGACAGAGCAGGAGAGGAAGAACCTCGATGAGATGGATTGATTCGGTGATTGGGGTAATGGGAGTAGATGAGTAAGAGACAGTGAGGTTGGCACAGGACAAAGCAGGGTTTAGGGCTCTTATGTACAGGGTCGCTATGAGTTGCAAGTGACTCGATGGCACATAACAACAACAAGCTATACATTCACTCAATGTTTACTGAATTCCTATTATCATATATTCCAGTAGATGCTGGAATATTCTGAAAGGTAAGATGCCAATACCTTTTGCTTTAAATCCTTTATGATTCATGGCATGCAGACTATGACCTTAATTATTCCCCTAGGGTTTGGTGGGAAGTGGTTATCCAACTTTTAGTTTGTGCTGCCATCTGGTGGAGACCTGTAGAACTTTGTGAGTTTTAAGAAAAGGGCAGCCTCCTACCAAACCCCAGCACCAGACACTCCTTGGGACATAAGAGTCCCACTAACACTATTAAAATCCTATTCAAAGTGTCTTCCATCATGGAAAGGACATGGTTCCAATGGGGAAAAAAAAAGTAATTTAAAAATTCAAAGGTGAAAGTCTTGAGTTAAGGAGCCTAAAATCTGGGGTTGAAACCACTCTAATAAGGCTTTTTATTCTTTCTGCTTATTAAGAAAATATGTATGACTAAGCATTAGGTGTTTGTAACTGATGTAACTGAATGAAAACACATTTTAGAAATCTATAGTAGTACACAAAAAAGAAAAACTTGCTAAAGCATCTGTTTTTAAAGTCATTAAAACGTACACATTCATTCAACAACTATTGTTTTCTTAAAACTAGTTTGCATACTTTTTTAAAAATCCTGTTTATCTATGTTGTTATGGAGAATATACACAGCTGAACATGAACAAACTCAACAGTTGTTACATGTACAGTGACGCTGATCACATTTGGGTTAAGCAAGCCTTCCTTTCCTGTGAAACCACCATCCTTTTTGGAGTTGTACTTCCCCTGTTACCAAACCATTGTGCTCTAAAGCGTCTATCTCTTCTTTCAAGTTGTTGCTGTCAATTTGGTCCCATAAAGACAGTTCTTAAAGTAGCCTAATGTTCAAGGCAGGCATTTTTTACTAGTTAAGTTAAACTACTGTTTGGATTTAAGATAATTCAAGGGATATTATCAATGTAAGGTTTAAAGACTATCTCAAGCTTCAGAGTTCATCAAGCCTTCATAGCTCCAGAAACTCTGGAGTTCCTAAGAAATTTGAAATTCCGTTCAGTCTGTAATAAATTCTAACACCACAATTTGGTTTTAAGTCATTCCTTCTATGTTCACAAAGAGAAAATACCAAGACCAGAGACACAGCTGGATAAGGATTCTCTTGTGGCCCTAAGAGGTCACAGAAGAATTTTTTAAAAAACTGTCATTTACTATTAAAACAAAAACATTCTTTTTTGTCTTTTTTTATGTCTGATGGGTAGTATGCCTATGTCGTAACAAAGTTTAGTAGGTGGCACATGTCATACATAAGTATGAACTCCCAGTTACCATGCGTATGAACCGGAAAAGGATTAGCAAAAACATTCCTATAATTCAAAAATTTCCAGAAGACAATGACAAAGGAAAACATCTGAAAAAAGGTACAGTATAATAAAAAAAGCTAGAAGCTGGATTTTAGAAAATCCATGACCACCAGACCTCATCAATACTTGCCTGTGATATTAAAAATCATAAAGGAGGAAATCAATAATAAAACCAAGAGTGAAGGCTCGGAGTTCTGCTACACTGTTCTCACTAGGCTATGCTCTCACCAAGACTCAGCACGGGGATTACAAAGTTCTTTCAAGACTCAAGTATTTATTCAAGATATCTCATTTAAAGAGCACTGTTCTAGACAGCATCATTTCCCTATCCAGACTGGGAATTTAGAAAAGTCCTGTTCAGGTCTTGAAGTCAGTCTCTTCTTCAAGTGAATCAAAAGGTTATAAACTTGTAATGTGGTCATTTTCCTAAGGTAATCTCAGGGTCTGAAAATGATGGTCCACGCCACTGGTCAACTGCATTAGGCACTATGGTAATTTTCAATCAGTTCTGGTAGAATCATTTATGTACACTGTGTCTTATTCCTGTACAATGTGTTTATATGACAGGCATTATAATGCTTGATTGTTCAATCAGCCATTGTGATCTAATAAGCCTTGGCAAACTCATCACTGAAAGGCAGGTTTAACTGTGAACTCACTTGAATGGATGGCCTTCTTCTGACTTCTGCACAGCTTGGATGACAGATTTGTAGACCCTGAAACTGATGGTGACCGAGAGAAGAGCCAGGATGAGGTAAGAGACCACACTGATGACGCTGAAGGCTGCCAGGGAGAGTAGCACGATGAGCGTGGTGCCAAAGACAAAGCCTGTCTTCTTCACATCTCGCCAGAAAATGAGATCGTGCACTGTCAAAAAGCAAACAATGAGGAATGTAAGTTGTAAGAACACTCAAAAGCCACAGGGCCAGGACTGACCTCTGGCTAGGTCCTGCAATCCCATGAAGCATCACACTAGCCCACAATTACAAATACACCCCACTTTAAGAGCACCTGATAACGAAAATCAAATTATGCCAAGGGTGATGATGCACACTGCAAAAGGCCCCTCTCCCTGTGAAGCTGAACACTGTGACACTGATGTGTCAAATGCGATAGTGGTTACCCGTGGTAGACAGTGTTTGGTGGAGCTCCCGATTAAAACAAGCTTGGAAGCCTCCGGAAACCCTATGAACTTGGAGAAATGATGAAAGTTATCCAATTGTTCAGGTCTTTCATCCATAGGGCTTCTATGAGTTGTCTATGACATGACAGCACTTAACAACAGTAACAATTATAGCCTACAGTCAGGGACCTCCCCAAATTACCAAGGAGCAATGATGTCAGTTTAAAGACTAAGGTCTAGGGGGAGGTTTGGGAGGGCAGAAAAGTGCAACAATGAATGAATGGAGGTCCAAAGTCTCTGTAAATTTTCACTGAAATGAATAATAAATTAAAAACAAACAAACAAACACAAAACCCACAAAAAAATACTAAAAAAAAAAAAAACCCAACAAACAACCCAAAACAGCTGAGAGCTGGAAAATGAATCAGGATGACAGAATAAGGATTGATGTCTTTGATCTGTGGTGCTGAAGAGTAGGGAATGTTCCATGTGCTGCCCAAAAAAAAAAATCACACATCTTGGAGAAGGTGCAGTTAGTGTGCTCCTTGACGCCAAGGATGGCACCACTTCATCGTCCATGCTTTGAGTATGCTGGTAAGAAAGGCTGCTCTTTGGAAAGAGAAATTATGTTGGACAGGTGGAGGGTCAGGAAAAGAGGAAAATCCTAAACAAGATGGATTTATACAGTGACTACAACAATGGGCTCACGTAAGTCAGAGATAGTGAGGTTGGCACAGGACAGGGCAGAATTCAGATCTGTTGTTCACCAAGTCACTCTGAGTCCTACTACACTTGACTGCACCTAACAACAAAACCCAGTAATGACTTTATAGCTTAGGTGTTTATATAATTCTCATTTCCTTTTGTTAGGACACCATTTGTCTGTCAGTTTGCTATGTTGGGGTAACATGTGGGTTGCTGCAATGCTGGATGCCTCTGGTGTTTCATATGCCAGAAGTATTGCCCATGGTGGACAGATTTCAGTGGAGCTCCCAGATTAAGACACTGAATCACGATTGAAATCACTTCTGAAATAACAGCTTTTAAAAACCTTCTGAACAAAAGATGAACACAGGTAGCTATGGTATTAGAGGTACAGTTCAGAATGGCAGTCATTTTAAATGAGGAGAAACATCTGTAAACACTATTTAAAAATAACTGGAATGTGGAATGTATGAGGTGAGTACAGAAAACCTGAAAATTATAAAAAATGAAATGGAACGTATGAAGATTGACAGTCTAGGCATTAATGAGCAGACATAGCTGGCTCTGAGCACTCTGAATCAGACAATTACACGGTGCATAGTATGCTATAAACTAAGAAGAATGGCGTTGTATTCATAGTTAAAAAGACAATTTCAAGATCTACCCTGAAGTACACTGTTGGGAAATCTTTTTTTTTTTTTTTGAAATAGTTTAATATGACTGTTATTCAAATACAGCTAAAGCCAAAGAGAAAGAAATGGAGGATTTCTATAAAATTCTGTGGTTTGCAATTGGCCAAACATGAAATCAAGATGAATTAAAAATAATTGGTGACTGGAATGCAAAATTCGGAAACCATGAAGAGAAATGATAGGGAAATACGAACTGGAAGAGATCCACTTTTGTTCTCATTACCAGGAAAGGTGTTGCAATAGAAATCTTAACTGAAGATCATCCAAAAATGGCTAGGACTGTAAGTACACGAACACAGAGCTTCTGGAAAGTCAAGCTGAAAAAAGGCTCTGGCACTAAGGATATTACTGCTAATGTCAAGTGGATCCCAGCTGAAAGCAGAAAATAGCAGAAGAATGTTTATTTGTGTTTTAATGGCTCTGCAGAGGCATCTGACTGTGTGAATAACAACAAATTATAACTAACATTGAGAAGAGTGGGAATCCCGAACACTTCACTATGCTCATACGAAACCTACACCTAGACAAATAAAATGTCTGAACAGGGCAAGGGAACACTGCATGGTTTAAAATTAAGAAAGGTGTGAAATCAGGGTTGTACCCTTTCCTCATACGCATTCACTCTGTATGCTGAACAAGTATTTGAGAAGCTGGACTCCATGAAGAAGTCTGTAATTTCAGGAATGGAGGTAGACTCATCAATAACCTGCGCTATGCAGATGACACAACCTTGCTTGCTGAGAGTGAAGAGAATTTAAAAGAAGATCAAAGACCGTAGCCTTTAATATGGATTACATTTCAACATCAAGACAACAAAAATCCTCACCACTGGACCGGCAGGCAACATTATGAAATATGGAGAATAGACTGAAACTGTTAACAATTTCCATTTTACTTGGATAAACAATCAACATCCTTGGTACCAGCAGCTAAGAAATCGAAAGATGACTGGACAAAGTCGTCGGTCAGGGACCTCTCCAAATTACTGAAGATCAATGATGTCAGTATAAGGACCAAGGTGTTTCTGATTCAGGCAATGGTCTTTTTAATCACATGTTATGCACTTGAGCTGAACAATAAATAAGGATGACAGAAGAATACCTTTGAGTTGTAGTTTTGGAAAACAGTACTCAATAGAATATTTCCTATGGACTGCCAAAAGAACAGATACATCTTGGAGAAGATGCAGCCAGAGTGCATCTTCTTTTTTTTTTGTTGTTGTTGTGTACTGTTGAATCGTATCCAACTGGCACAGGAGGAGATTGTCCCTCCTTCTCCAGCGGAGCATCTGGTGAATTCAAACTGCAGGCCTTTGGGATGGCAGTGCAGTTTCTTGCCACTAGGCCACCAAAGCTCCTTCAGAGTGCTTCTTAGAGGCAGTGTGGGTAAAGCTTCTTAAATACTTCTGGGCATATTGTTATGTGAGGCTCTTCCTCGGAAAGGGGTATCATAGGTGGAAAGGTGGAGAGTCAGTGACAGAGAGGAAACCTCAATAAGATGGACTGACACAATGACTGCTGCAATAGACTCAAGGAATTAGGAGGATGGCGCAGGGTAGAACAGGGTTCAGATCTGTTGTTCACAGGGTCACTATGAGTCATACTCAACTCGACAGCATCTAATAACAACATATTCAAAAGTATTCCATAGGTTTGAAGTATTATTTTTTTTTCAATTTTATTGTTTATTGTGTGTGTACCGTCAAATTGGATCTGACTGGTACAGGTGGAGATTGTCTCTCCATCTCCAGCAGAGCATCTGGTGGATTCGAACCCATGTACCTCTGGGAATGCAGTGCAGCTTCTTGCCACTAGGCCACCAGAGCTCACCAGGTTTGAAGTATTATAAAAGGGGGGGGGGGGGGAAACACAACACAAAACAAAGAATAATTCTGAGGATAAAGCTAGAGCCTAGAGAGAAAATGATCTTGATGTTGTGGAGAAGAAACAGGTACTAGCTTAAATGTAAGTTAGAAATTCTACCCGTGCAAACTAGAAAAAAGCCACCCTGTCCTCAAGACACTGTACTGCCACCGGCTGGGAAGCTAGCATGAGAAACAGCCAAACTACAATGATAACATGTGCAGAAGGTGTTGCCAGAGGTGAAGAGTGCACAACCTGCTTGACAGTGTAAATAGCCTTGTGCTTATTTTTGAGTTAAGTGGCAGAATGATGGCTTGGATGTACCAGGGATCTATGTTAATTACAACTGAGGGAAAACTTGGAAAAGAGGGTCCAAGACATCAAATCTGCCTGGAATGTATTTCCCCCCACAACCGTCCATGGCCTGCTCCTCTACTTCACCAAAAGCATGGCTTATGGGCTACCTTCTCAGAGACTCTGCCCACCTATCTTAACACTGCCTGTTAGGGAGCTCTGGGGGCCTAGTGGCAAGAAGCTTCACTGCAATCCCAAAGGCCCGTGGTTTGAATCTACCAGACGCTCCGCTGGAGAAGGAGGGGTAATCTCCTCCTGTGGCACGCTGAATCAGCAGCGAATAAGGAAAAAACACCACCACCACATTGCTTGTCATGGCTTGTGGGCTGCCTTCTCAGTGTTTCTACCCGCCCCATCTTAATATTGCCTGTCATCATTTGCTCTCCCCTTCTGGGCACTTTTCACTTTATTTATGTATAGTGGGTTCTTCAAATCTATTGTTGAATGCTTAAAAGTGGACCATCTAAAGACTGAGAACAGTATAACCACAACTTTTATTTGCTTCCTGATAATCCACCATAAACTAATTTTTATACATGAATACTATCAAGTACAAGAGACTAAACAGACCAAGTATAGAACAGACATTAAAAAAAATTATAATTATGGTACATTCACACAATAGAATACTATGCAACATGAACGAGCAATAACCTTGTACATTATTACCTAACTTGGGAGGGACTGAAGAGCATTATGCTTAGTGAACTTAGTCCTACAAGAATAAATATTGTATAAGACTGTTATTGTAGAATGAGCATAAGAATCCAGGAGGCGTGGGAGAGGCTGGAAGCAGAGGGATGTGGATGTACAGGGGGAAAAGGGGATTAATCATTGGGCTGTACAATTTGATGGGGGGGAGGGAAATGAAAAGAATTTGTATTAGGAAATTGTAAGTAAATTAGTGAAAAAAAAATTCTAGAAAGTGGCACAGTCTTCAGAAACTTTTACTTCTCTGATCAGTTAGGATGAGAGTTGTGCGTGGCTCAGTCGGTAACTCACAGGGACCCTCTGGCACAGAGAGAACTGCCTGGCATGGTTTCCTAGGCTGCTGTAATCTATTCTTACAGAGCAGACGGCTGAATCTTTTCTCTCATGGAGAAGCTAGTGGTCTGAATCGCTGACCTTCTG